TGTACACTTCAACATACTTACATACATATAAACTTTATATTTGTGTGTGTATATATGTATTATACATACAAACATACCTAGAGTACATTATATATGCATGATATACAATGTATGTAAGTAGGTATATATGTTTGTGTGTATATTATGTAGATGCTTTTATATGTATGTATATTTTGTATATAAATGTAAGAGTATGTGTTTGTATGAGTGAGTATATTTGTATTCTTATCAATATTACACACTATGAAACATGGAATTTTTAATGTATTTTTCCCAATGAAAATGCATTGTACTCAAATATTGTATTGTGTTGTATTGTATTTTGTTGGTGAACAATAACAACAACAAAAAAATAAAAAATTGTATATCAACAAAGATTTGATTCAATTCTAAGCGAACATATTAACAGAATTTTTTGCAGGCACTCCAGCCAACCACAGAACAGATTCAAATGATTTTCGAAATACTAACCAAGGGTTGCAAAATTCCTGCGACGGCGTACTGGTACCCATCAGATACATAAATAAAGGTTCATTTCAAATAGATAGAGCCAAGGGTGAAACCAATAAAAGGCTTTCTAAATTTGGGATTGGTTTATAATTGAAGAGCTCCACTTTAACGACATTATGTATTATTTCTTATTGTTAATTTTTTGTTGTTGTCGTCGTCATCGTTGTTGCTGGTTTATGCTCGTTGTTGTTGTAGTTGCTTTTGCTGTTGTTTTACAATTTCATTTCCATTTTATCCTGTTGTTGTTCTTGTTTTGTTTTTTTTTTTTGCAATGTAAATGAACGAACGATTGTTTAAATGAAAAGTGGAACCGAACAGAACCTTGTACACCCACACGCACTCAATTGATAAGAGTATGTGTGTGTGTATATCTTTCTTTGTATATGTATCTGTATTATATTTAAATATGTAAATACGATTTTAAAGTACAAATCCTAATTAATATAAGTATACATTTTTGTTTAAAATTCTTTAATATTTTTCTGTACATTGTTTAACACTTTGTAATATTTTTAGCATAATTAATATAATTAAGATGAATTAATATTAACAATAAAAAATAATGATTTTATTATGAAATTGGCTCTAATATTTGCAAATAACATTTTGACTCAGACGTTTCAAAATGTATTTACGAGAGAACAACTCCAGTAAAAACTTTGAATCCTCTCTTATCCCTCTTAGCAACTTTAGGTTTGGTTAGGTTGATGTATACATCATATCCGAAAACATACATATAGGCCACTATCGGGCCTGTTCTGCGCTCCTTTTTAAGGAAATTTTTGCTGGTAAAAAAATCTTAAATGTCCAATGTAGGTATTATTGACCAAAGTTCAATTTCCTGGACGCAATTCCTAAAAATGTTCTAATCAGTGTACGCGAGGGATTGTTATATCCAGAATATTTGAATCTAATGTTCACGAAAGCCTTACAATGAAAAAGAAAAGGCTCCAGAGTGTCACCGCCCTCTCCACATGCTCTACATTTGTCCCTCTCCACATGCTCTACATTTGTCATTTCACTCAAAATACAATACATTCATACTAATCTCAGACTCATTTTGAGGGATCTTCTCGTCCTGTTCTCGTTAGGGTCAGCCCATAGGATTTTTGTAGTTCTAATCACCGTTTCATTAGGTGATGCTCTTGCCCATACTTTTAACTCAGCCCTCATTGTGTCGAACTGTTTTCATCAGATTAACTACCTCGAGGTCACTTCTAATTAATGCAAGTATATTCCCTCTTTGGTTATGCCTGTTATGCAGTTTCTGGGAGAATATTCGGTTAAAGTTTTCTTACAATCTAATACGGTCTTAGATTTAACCTTATCACCAGATATCGACCTAATTGTCTTCTGCTAGTCGGTAAATATGTTAACCCCTGTTAGCGCTTTTCTAATCTAATTTATGGATTCTCTATTGCTTGGACTTCTGCCTGGAATCTAGTGTTGTGATAAGGTAAACGGTAGTATGTTTCTGGGTCTTCAATATAGTATCTGGGCCCGTTTTGCCATCCTTGTAGCAATGGACTTCTATGGTTGTTTGCTCTAATATGCCGATATATTAGGTGTATTATGCGATCGGCACATCCAGTATACATAGTTTGCCTAAAGTAAAGACTCGGCTCATATCTTATACATATATTTAAGTTGGTGGATTAACTAGCAACGTTTCCAGATCCTTGGTTGACATAGTGCTCATAGTACCACTTTTACCCAAGCACTTTTTGTCCAAAGAAATCCACCAGATTATTGAATCATAAGTAAGATATGGTGTATAACCATATATGTGATATTTTCCCAACTTTCTGCCATCACACACTGGGCTAGAGATCCCATTTTTTGGCCATAATTAGAGCAGTGGATATATGAAATAAATAAATATCACATATAAGGTTTTCGGTGACACTGATTACGTAAAAATTCAAAATGGCGGATCCAAAATGTCGGTCAAAATTTTTAAAAATTCAATTAATAATTTTTTATTGAACACATTTTGTAGACCTATGGTCACTGATTACAAATATGAAGTCTGATTTTGAAAATTGATCAATCGGATCAAACATAAGAAAAAATTAAATATTTAATTTCTTACCAGTTTTTAAGATGAAGATGGTATGAAATCGTTGGCTTATGTATTACGGGCATAAAACCATACCTTAATTAAATTTGAAATACTTGATATATTCAAAATGGCGGATATGGCGGTCATCAATTTTTATTTATTGTTATTATATATAACTATTACTGAAAATATATAATTAAGATAACTTGATAATTATGAATCTTAATTTTTTTGCTAAAAACTAAAAAAAAAAATGAAAATCCCATATGCAAAATTAGTAATATGAAAATTTTCTAATTAAGTGGTAGTTGATTATTATTATTATTTTTTTTTTTGTTTTTTATTAGAAATGTAATAATAAATAATTTACTATACATATGGTAAATAAAAATGCGAAATAATATTAATAATAATAAATAAAAATAATTATAGAAATTCATTAGGGAAATAAATTTTTAATAAATTAATCCTTTTCAGTCATAAGTTCCAAGTTACTTAATCCGTTAAATTGTTTTAGTAGATTCCAATCATTCTCTTCATTTTTTACTTTTGAAATTTCGGGTATAGCTAGAAGATTAATGACACTTATGGGAGTGGTAAATGTTTGTTTCGGTCTATTCTAAAACGTAAGCTTTCCGTAGATATTTTTTGATCGGATGTATCCATGGCTCTATAAAAAATTTCCTCCATCGTAGCTTTACGCGAACATCCCCTGCTATGAAACTCCCTAAATATCGGACATTCGACAATAGTTAATATAACTTATAAATATAAAAAGGCGTTAAATAGATACTGCCCCCTTATTGAATTTGTCAAATTTGAGACTAATATCTGCCAATTTTATTATCAAAATGATATATTACTAAAAATTAAGTTTCAGCGACTATTTTTATATTATCGGCAATAACTCTTAAGTTTATGAACGGTCGCAAAATTCTGGTCAGAGAACATATCAAGGCATCAATTGGTGCTATAACCATTAAAATATCCTCTGGCACTGCTTGGCACTAGGTTTTGAAACTTAAAGTTTTTGGGAAAAAAAATCATATTTTTAAGGTTTAAATAACAAATTTTTAATAATCATCTTCAAATTACTAATAATTTTCATTTTTATTTTAAGCACCACTTTCATCTGTTAACTATCATTTCATGTAAATATTTTTGACTCATGTGAATATTATATAATATTTTTGAAAATGTTTTCTTTACCTGAAATGGATTTTTTCCAAAAAATGGGATCTCTGGCCCAGTGTGCATCATATGGATTCTGGCAATTTTTTAAGTCAAGAAGGATTCAAACAATTTCGGATACTCTGTTCTAAAGTAAAGCGCATTACAGTGAGAGTGTTCTACATCAATGGAAACAAATAGTAGTCGGGGCTATAAGGCAGTCTTATTTGTATTTGATAGTATTTGGCCGGATTTCAAATACCATTGCTTGCTCTTCGTAATCGTTTTTTATTGCTCGTAAAATACTTTATAACAACTTTTCTCCTCTATTTTCTTTTGGCGCTTACTTCTACAAAATCTTTAGTCATTAACCCCAAAAGTACATTCAAATACTATAGACAACATACATATGTCGACCCAAGGTCCAATACTGTTGAGAGCAGCTGTTAATGATTAGTTTATTTAATTATGATCTGTGCCTCAAACCACATTGACTTTAATAGCCCCAGTATTACTCATTTGCCAAGCAATAAAACTAACAATAGATCAAAATTTTTATAAATGGAAACTATCGCTTTACTAAGATGTTTATAACATAAATAAATATAAAAAACAAGTAAGAAAATATAGTCGAACATGGCCGACTATATGATTCCCACCATGGGAATATTTTAAAAATTATTTATTTTTCATAAAAAAATTTTTGAATTTTACCTTAATTCCGATGTATTTAAGCAATTTATTGATGAAAAACTAAATTTCTAAAAGAGGATTTATATGGGAGTTAGGGTCAAATATGGACATGGTCATTTATGCCTATATAAAACTATGTTGTGCCAATTTTTGGTAAGATAGTAGTATATTTGACATAGTTATGAGTTAAAATGCCAAATTCAGAAGGAATCGGTTGTATGGGGGCTAGGTGAAATAATAGACCGATTTCAACCATTTTCAATAGGCATCGTCCCTGTGCCGAAAAATTAAAATTTTATCCAAATATCTTGAAAATTGTGGCCTGTAGCTTGCACATAAGGTTTACATGGATAGCCAGCCGTACAGACGGACGGACATGTATTAATCGACTTAAAAAGTGATTCTGAGACGATCGGTATACTTAAAGGTGTAGGACCAACATTTTTGTGTGTTACAAACATCAGCACAAACGAATAATACCCTTCCCTCTATAGTGGTATAATTACATTATATTATAGTTTATATCTATAGGTACAATATTTGATTCTTTATCCTATATTTACAGATGCATCATTCCATGGACCAACTGGATATGCTGGATCCAACGGGTTCAATGACAACACTCGCCCCCATTTCAGAAACGCCTTTAACACCTACGCACCAACATTTACATGGATCCTACCATAGTATGAACCATATGATGAGTCATCATCATCCAAGTAGTTTAAGTGGACATTCTGCGGGTATGCATTAAATAACTATTTTCTATTAGCCCAAAGTTATTGTAGTTTTAAAACATTTACTACATTTAAAAAAAATTGTCACTATCAAAAAAAGGTCACCATGGTCATTCTGCAGTACATCATCCTGTGATAACGGCCGCAGTAGCGGCGGCGGGTCTACATCCGGATACCGATACAGATCCTAGAGAACTTGAAGCCTTTGCCGAGCGATTTAAACAACGAAGAATAAAACTAGGTAAACAGCTAAATAAGTATTATGAAACTAAGATTTCTTCGTAACATTAAATTAAAAATAAAATTTTGAAACACACAAAATCTTGAATATCAATTTAAATAGGAGTCACACAAGCGGATGTTGGTAAAGCACTAGCGAATTTAAAGTTACCTGGAGTTGGGGCACTTTCACAAAGTACAATCTGTCGTTTTGAGAGTCTAACACTGTCGCACAATAATATGATTGCGCTTAAGCCTATTTTACAAGCGTGGCTTGAAGAGGCCGAGGCACAGGCGAAAAACAAAAGACGAGATCCCGATGCCCCAAGTGTACTTCCTGCTGGCGAAAAGAAAAGGTAGACAGCGTTTTAGTTAAAGCCCTTCAAAATTCCATCTTACATGTATCTGTACTCTGTTGAAGGCATTTACGTAACTCCAGTTGAAAAGTGTTGGAGAATTCTTAATATTTATCTAAATTCATCTTCAAAATTGATAAATAACGACATATGAGTATTATATTTGAGTTGTCAGATTAGTAGCTAACACAATATTATAATCATTAAAAGATTATTTTTAAATTGGACATTTTTTTAATTTGATTAGCTATTACTGGAGTAGCGTGGATATATTTTAAGTCATTATATATTCAGTCGTACATACACACTCGTTTATTGGTTATAAAGATTTTAAAATATGTAAATTACACAGACACGAGTACACTAAATTCGATTACTTTGACGACTTCGATCAACTTCAAAATTTAAGTGACTTAGTTTGATTGACTTTTCTACGTTTTTTCGATTTACTGAATCACTGAAGCATTTCTTTAGTAAATATGATTTTATGTGATTTTATAACTATTTAGGGAAAGGAATCTGTATAAACTGCTATTTTGAGAGATTATGGAGTTGAAATTTGTGATTTTTTAAGTTTATATCTTCATTTAAGTGTAAAAAAATTAATTAGATAATTTAAGAAATCAGAAATAAAGTAGACAATTTATCACTTCTTTATTCCGGTATAGTAATTTTTCTTTTTAGATGAAAAATATTCGAGCAATAGGAACATATGAGTCAGAAATAAAGTAGACAATTTATCACTTCTTTATTCCGGTATAGTAATTTTTCTTTTTAAATGAAAAATATTCGAGCAATAGGAACATATGAGTTTCAAGACCGAAAAGCCTTAATAAGTAGGAAAGATACTTTTTCTTTATAAGTTTCGTTTAAATTATCTTAGTAAATGACAAAAACTAACAAATCCATGCAAATATACACACGATCAAAAACACATACATAGATACATATTGAAGAGTATGTGTGTCTATATTTACATATTGGAACAGAGAAAAGAGGGAATCATTTTCAACTACACTTTGAATATCATTTATCGAGTAATCTATATCGAGTCTTTTTTCAAGAAAAAGGACTTCCATTGCGGCACCTGAAAAGCGATCTCTGGAAGCGTACTTTGCCGTACAACCGAGGCCATCTGGGGAGAAGATAGCTGCCATTGCTGAGAAGCTGGACCTTAAGAAGAATGTGGTGAGAGTCTGGTTCTGCAATCAGAGACAAAAACAAAAACGTATGAAATTTGCTGCACAACAACAATGACAAACAACTAATTCAGCCACACCATTAGGTATTGTTAGTAGCGTTACACCTTCGATGACTGGACACGGTTCGGCGGGGTTTGGTTACTGATAGTCGATGTTTCCTGGAGAGCACTACATGTAGAGTTATCAACAACACCTCCCCAACACAAGGACATGAGCACCCCAATCAACACCAAGCTATGAAGACGATGACAGAGACGCCGACCAAGATGAAGACGACTGAGATGAAGACCACTAAGACGAAGAAGAAGACGTTGAGCGAGCGTGAGTGCACTTATCCTCCTACATCAACCCCATTCATAATGACATGGATTCACACCCTATTTGCCAACAATCAAATGCGAATATTTATGGAACGATCAATGCAAACAATGGACCAACATATCAAATGCAATAACATTACTACTAATGGTAAGTATTTATTGACAAATTAACAGAATTATTTATTAAACTATAAAAATAGTATGCAAACATATCGCTCATTTACTTTAAGACTGGCATAATCCAAAAAAGTCGTTTCGAGAAAAATGGCTTTAAAGAGGTTATATGTAACACATTTAAATTTAAATGTAATTTTTATTTCAGTTTTTACGTTTATAATATAAAAGACTTTAGTACGATGCATGTTTAAAAAACCCGAATGGAACAAGGTGAAAAAGGGCAACGTGAAATAATGGACCGACAGACGGACGACTCAGGAAATTATTCAAAACCGATTGGTATAATTTAAGGTGGGTATAGGGCCAATAGTTTTGTGCTTTACAAACATTAGCACAAACTCATAATACCCCCCAATATATTTAGTGGTGTATGTTATAATTATCTGAAAAATTTTAACACGGCAGATACTTTTCAAAACATTCGATTTTGAGTTATTAATATTTAGTTACAATAGCGCTTATAATAACTTATGGGTGATCTAAAAGATATTGTTGACATATTGCAATTTTGTTATAACGGTATTTTGAAAATAAGAGAAGAAACTGAAAATGTATCTATAAGTGAAATGAACAAATGGTAAAATCGTTGAATGACATCATAGCTAAGCTATCGACCACCAACAACGTTTTTTTTTTTTTGGCATAGAGAAGAATGTAGAAGTTCGAGTTATCTCACAACTTCTGAGGCAAAAAAATAAACAGGTCTCCCAAGGAGCAGAACACAAAAAGCAATTCCAAGAACAATGAGAAAAAGAGATGAGGAGCTCTTGAAATAAACTGCGAAAACCAACCAAACCTTTCTCAAAAGAGTCTCGAGTCAGAATCGCACAATTGAGAAAACAAAAGCTATTATGAATGCAACCAAATCAACCCCGAAGGTAAAGTTGTCTAAATACGGAAAAAGAAGCTGAAAAAGATTCTCATCTTACGCCAGAATATCAGAACAATATCTGCTGTATAGACTACAACAGTAAATTGGAAGATGTGGTCAACGATAATATTGATCTAATCGTGGTAATCAGCAGAGATTGGTATCACATCAATGTGCTTACACCCTGATGAACTTGCTGGTAGTAAGCATACTCCATAGGACGCCGCAACACTTGGGCTGGTCCTGTGCTCATAAAGTGCACTTTCTATATAAAAGGTAGTAAATTGGCGAATGAACGCATTTTGGTAATTCTTGGCAGCCAAAAAGCTGAACTGGCCTTGGTGAAGTGGAAGATCTTTCAAAGGAAAGGGTACCCTGAGGGCACTCGTTTAGGACCCCAAGGCTAGACTTGACAATAAAAAAGGTACGCCTTATTTCGCTTCTAAGACTGTAGTCTTCAAAATTGTGAAAATATCCATGGAAGTAGCACAACACCAATTGAAAAGCTTAACTAGATCCCTGGAATCTTCTCTGTGACTAGGTAAAAAGCGTAAACGGCGTATCATTTTTTTTTTTTTTTTTCATTTTACTTATTATTTATTGAATCTTTCTTACATAGAAATTTACAATAAGTATTGAAATCTTAACCTAAACTATAACTAACGTCGTTATTGCCACTGCAATTTCAACAAAAGTTCTCGATAATTTGATTATCTGGCAAAATCCAATGTTTCCGTTCTTCTCAGTCGTCTATGACCCTCAAATGACAGCAACTCCCTGGCAAGGGGATTTGGGTGATCCATTAGTTTCGACAGGTAGGTTAAACAAGAGAGTTTGATCTCCTCGCGTATTATGGGGACATTGAGATCCCTATGAATATTACTATTGCGAATGTACCACGGGGCACCTGTTATTGACCTTAACAGTGCTGACTGCTTTCTTTGTAATTTTTCAACATTAGATGAGGAGGCTGTTCCCCACAGTTGAATGCCGTATAGCCATATCGGTTTTATAACTGTTTTGTACAAAAGCACTTTGTACTCCAAGTCTAGAGCAGACCGTGGTCCAATTAGCCAGTACAATTGAGCTGACTTTAATTTTATTTGTGTAACCTTGGCTTCAATGTGGTGAGTCCATGTTAAGCGGCGATCAAGGTGGATACCAAGATATCTCACATGGCTTTGTTCAGGAATTTTTATATTGTTTATCTGCACGGGAGGACAATTTTCCCTTCTTAAAGTAAATGTAACGTGAGTACATTTTGTAGCATTGACTTTTATTTTCCATTTGTCCAGCCATTTTTCCAATTCGCCGATGTGAAACTGGAGTTGTTCAGAAGCTATTGAAGGGTTTGCATGCATGCTTACAAAAGCGGTATCATCCGCAAATGTAGATGTGTGAGTCAGTGCGCTCGTTGGCATATCTGCAGTATATAAAATATATAGGAGCGGACCTAGAATACTCCCCTGGGGTACTCCAGCAGATATTTTTCGACGTGAAGAGATCACATCTTTAGATCTGATTTGAAAAGATCTTTCATATATGTAATTTTTAAGCAGTTTGTGAACATTCGCAGGTAGTAATGTGATAATTTTGTGTATTAGTCCATCGTGCCAGACTTTATCAAAAGCTTGAGAAATATCTATGAATAATGCAGAGCAATATTGCTTGCTCTCGAAGGCCTTCCGAATAAGAGTTGTTATTCGATGTACCTGTTCGATAGTGCTGTGCTTTCTTCTGAAACCAAACTGATGGCCAGGAATAATGCGATTATCGTTAAAGTGTACTAAAAGGCTTTCAAGCAATAACTTTTCAAAAAGTTTTGAGAATAAAGACAACAGGCTAATGGGACGGTATGATGTCACTTGAGTGACATCTTTCCCCGGTTTTGGTATCATAACAATCTCGGATACTTTCCATGAGTTAGGGAAGTATCCAATACGTAGCATCGAGTTAAAGATGAACAAAATAATTCTCAGTGCTGAATTGGGCAGGTTACTTATCATCGTGGTAGTAATTTTATCTATACCAGGTGATTTTCCTGCCTTTAGACCTTTGATTGTCATCTTCACGGTAGAGAACCGGAATTTTATTGGGTGTGGAACCACATTATTTATAATGTTAGCACTAATAGAAGAATCTGTATCATTTTGAGTAAACACATTCTCCAAGTGATTGGCGAATGCTTCAATTATTTCTGACGTATTTCTTGCCCATTGACCATTCTGGAGGCGTATAGGTGACTCATATGCAATAGGGCACTGCATATTTTTAACAGCTTTCCAGAGACTATATTCTGTTTTCTTAGTAGGGTCTAAGTTTTTGAGATAATTTCTCAGATTAGATTCCTTATTATCCTTTAAAGCGATGTGAAGTCTTCTTTGGCACTGATTAAGTTTAACCTTTATGTTTGGAGATCGTGATTGTTGCCATTGACGTCTGAGTGTTCTCTTTTCTTTAATAAGAGACTCAATGTTCCTAGGACATTTCGATTTTTTGAAGTCTCCCAAGGTGACTGGGGGTGTAGACACTTTGACAGCATCTTGTAAGATATCCGTAAATATATCGACAGCGAATTGTATTTCATGGTCATTCTTCAATGAAATGTTTTGTGGCAGGTGTGAGCTAACATACATTTTATACTTTAACCAGTTCGTTTTCTTGTTAGGGAAACAAGAACAATAGTTTTCCAATTTATTTGGGGTTTCTAATAACGTTAAAATTGTAGGCGAGTGGTCTGACGAGAGGTCCAATGAAGGGATCACTGAAATAAATTCTCGTTTTATATTTTTGATTACAGCAAAGTCAATTAGATCGGGAATCTTATTGAGGTCTGTAGGCCAATAGGTAGGTTGGCCACTAGATATGGCATCTAGTCTGTTGTACGATATTGCTTCTAGCAATTGTCTGCCTTTGGGAGTAATGAGGCGAGAGCCCCAAAATGTATGTTTTGCATTATAATCACCAGCTGCTATGAATCTTGGGCCAAGAGTTTTAAAGTATTCGAGAAACTGCTCTCGATTAACATTATACCTAGGAGGACAATATATTGAAGATATTGTAACTCGACTATCAGGTATATTTATAGAGGTGGCCTGGATATGGTCCTTTTTGTATTCTGGCATTGGGAAATGTCTAATATTTTTTCTCACTAAAATGGCTGTTCCACCAAGGGCTCTGCCACTTGGATGTTTTGTATCATAAGTGTAGTATCCATTAATTCTGAAACAATTCTTTAGGGTAAAGTGTGTTTCAGAGACGAGTAGTACGTCAATTTCCTGAAGTAGCAGGAATTGTTCTACTTCATTCTTGTGTTGGCTAAGGCCGTTAGCATTCCAAAAACAAATTCTTAGAGAATTCATTTTTTATTTAGCAGGATCTGCATGAGCATGCTTTGATTCTGCATTAATTGTTGAAACATATTTTGCATATTTGCCATGAAACTGTTCATGGTTTGAATTAGATTCTCAATAGAGCTTTGAGAATTTGTTTCGGGTGCAGGCACACCCTCTTTTAATGCATGTGCATATGAAAATAATGGGGCATTATTTTCATTGTTTGATTGCAAATTCTCATTATTCTTATTTGTAAGACTTCTATATTGGGCACTAGAAGTTTGATTTGCATTCATTTGGGTAACGGAACCCTCTTTTGTCGTATGGGCATACGATTTATTCTGATTGCTTTTATTTGTGATACTTCTATATTGAGCACTAGAAGTATTAGGAAGGCTTGGGAAGTTAGAAGCTTTATATTGAGCATATAAAGGTCTTCTGGCCTTATTTGATTGTTGGATGTGTAGATATACTGGACATCCGCGATAGTTAGCAGTGTGATTTTGACCACAGTTACTGCATTTTCTTTTATTGTTATCTGTTTTTGGGTAAGGACAATCTTGACTCTTATGGATGTCTCCGCATCTCACACAAACAGATGGTAATTTGCAGAAAGTTCTGGTGTGACCGAACTCTTGGCAATTTAGGCATTGAGGAGGACCTCTGCGCTTAATGGGTTCCTCTACAGTTATTTTGCGATTGAGAAGATATCTTAAACTGTATATTGGATGAGTATCACCCTTTTTTTTCAATTGTGAAGAGTTAAAAGTAATTTCAACTCTAAACATTGGTTGGGGAATTTTGTCCTTGTTAAATATATTGTGAATGGACTTCACTTCATAACCTTCAGACTCTAGCGCCTTTTTAATGTCATCAGTTGGTACAGAGCTGTCTACACCTTTGATAACTACTGTCAAACCCTTTGCACTTTTTAGTTGATACGTGTAATAATTTCTTTTCTCAGAATCAAAACTATCAACTATTGTTCTAAAAGACTTTTCTGAATAAGTCTGTATTTTTGTTTCCTGAATGTTTCCTTTCCGTAGAGAGACTACATGGAAATTTTCTTTGCCTACAAGTTGGGACAACTTATTTACCAATAGATTGGTGGTAGGTTCGCGCAAATAGAGGGGAGGTGGTATCGAAGACCAAAATTCTTATCGATGGTTAAACCCATGTCTAACCATATGACACGGGTTGGAGATTGGTGGACTTGTAAGATCATCTGTCAATGATGATCACTGCTAATGATGATGATTACTCCGCTTAGCTGACATGATTTAAGAGTATTAGAGATTATTGGAAACTGTGTTTAATGATGTAGTACACTACATAGAAGAATTGGATTTCGTTAAAAATCGATTTTACTGATATGAAGAAGCTGAATAAAATTGCAGATGGATGATTTCGTAGGTGAAGAGTGTTTTTGCTAATAATGCGTTTTCGGAAAACAAACGAGAAACCTTTTAAAGTGAACAATATGAACATAACGCCTTAAGAAAATTGCTACTTTGAGACTTAGGTTAGGTTGATAGAAGGATTTATTACATCAAATCCGAAGAAATTCACCTTGGCCACTATCGAGCCTGTTGCGCGCTCCTTTTCATGGAAAAATATTTGTTCTCTGAATGTATTATTTTTCAATGTTCAGAAACTCAGTTTCCTTGACGTAATTCCTAAGAATTTTCCAATCAGTGTTAGTCAGGAATGTTATTTCCTGAATAACATCACTTCCAAGATACTTGGATCTAACTTCGACGAATGCGTGACAGTGGCAAAAAAAAAATTATCCAGAGTTTCACTGTCCTCTCCACTCTCTCACCCATATTTTTAAATTCAGCTTTTGTTGCGTCGAATGGTTTTTCGTTTGTCAGGTTAACTACCACGAGCTCCCTTCCCTTCAAAGCTATTAAATACGCCCTTTCGTTACCGTCTACTTCCGAGTGGCCTGGTACCCATATGATGTAAACCTTACCTCTGAGAGAGTATTCGATTAAAGCTTTCTTACACCTGACATACATATATACATTGATGACGTGTCCTATAACCGCTTTTGGCCACTTCGCCTAAATAAATGTTTATTGTGCTAATTATGTCTTATAATAAAACTCCAGCTGAAATTATCACATTTTAAGTTTATAATAGCTGCATAAAATGGAATCGGTTACAGATTATAGAATCCAAATAAACGTGAAATTGTATTGTCAAGAGATGTTGTTTCAATGAAAAGATGTTTGCAAATTCTTTCTATATAAATTAAAATATTTCAAAATCCTGGATTATTCAACAAGCATTTTACCTTTCTTATAATTCCAACAGACTTAAATACCTAGACGTAATCCTTAATAGGCAAAATGAATATTCCATATAGAAACAAAGCACAACGATGTTCGAAATGGAAAACTTCTTTGGACAAAAAAGTGTAACATAAGACCACTACAGGGAGGTCAGAGTGTTGGTTAGGTATAAGTGGTACCAGGTGCACTACGTCAACCAATGTTCTGCAAACATTGCTGGACATCCCTTAAATCGAAACATATATAAGATAGGAGGCGGCACTCGCAGCTGAGTGTCCCTTATCTTACCGATTTCTGTTATAGGCCACGTTATCAATGTATCCTGGACATATTGGACGGTTATGCATTATCGGGAACTGTGGTTAAGTAGATCGTGTCCAAGCGGAATTTAGAGTTTGTAGGCTACTACAAATATTGAATAAATTGTCCTTTACAATGGACAAGCGAGCAGTGAATGAACATGTTAGAATGCTATGTGAGATATGACCTATGGTTGTAAATCATTCTTTAACTATCAAAAAATATTTTTATTTTTTAAATATTTAATAATTATTTAGGGCTTCATTCATTTATTATAAACTTGATAAATGATTGATAAATTGAAACAATTTATAAAGTTAAAAATTTATAATTTTCTTTTGTATATTTCAGAAAAATTTTATAAACTGGACACTACGACATTCGCCTGTATAATAGTAATACATACTTCTGAGACCTTCAAGGGATTCTGAACGTTCTTTAATTTTAAGAAAACACAACAATAATAAAAATAATAATACATAATAACACAATGTCGTGGTATCTATGCTTCCTTTAGATTATTTACTATTTATTAGTTAACTACATACAAGAAGAAGAAAACAAAACAAAAAAACACAACTGCATGTTTCGGGCCCAATAGAAAACAATTTTCTTTGGAATGAACTTCAACAAAACAATTTGAAACGTATGGAAACGGAAATGGAAATGGAAAGAAAAGAAATGAAAATAAATCTAACCAAGCACTTGAAAATGCAACGAATTTAAAATGTTGCCAAACTATAAGTACATAAACAAATAAATACATAGATTATATATATTTAAATAAATGATTATTATATACAGATACATTAGTAAATGGATACATACATGCACTCATATACATATAAATACATATGTATGTATGTTTGTATGTATGTATGAGTATATAGGATAATAATTATAATAATATTGATGATTAATATTGTGTGATGATCATCGATGATTTTAATGAACTTTTTACAAAATAAGACTAGATTTGTACAGATTAGAATTATACACTTGTAAATGTATGTAAACATTTCAATAATAACAAGAAAAATAAAATAAAAACAAATAAACCTAATAATAAATTTAAAAAGAACAAATAAAACACAAACTAAATGAGAATTATTATTATGAAATTATAATTATTTATATATATATATACATACAACCAAACAAACAACCAACCATTTGAAAATAAGTAGTTTTGTATCTAAGTAGCAATAAATTTTTAATACCCAATTGCAAGAAATTTTTCATTTATTTATATCTACATACATACATAACTCATAGATTCGAATTACATACATATTAACTTATAATCCTTTTTTTAGTTTTATTAATTTATTTTTCAAAATCATAAATCTTAATTTTTGTACATAAATATTATACGTTTTTGTTGTTAATTTCAATTCATACTTGCCAAGTGCATCATATGTGTAAATAAAAAAATTCAAGAAAAAATTTAATAATAAATAATTCTCGCATTTTGCAATGTGATACATAAAGATTTTTCTTTCATTCTTTATATTTTTTTAAACAAGCAGCAGAAAAAACAACTTCGTTATTGGTTATATCATACATTTCTTGGTAATGAGTTTAATTTACCAGGTAATCGTACAGGTGTTAACAATGAATTGGATACAAAATAGTTGTGTTCTTGATTTATTTTAAACTCGTAAATCTAGCATTGTATCTATCAATTAACAAAACCCTATTTTTAACGGCTTCTCAGTGAGGTTTTCCAAGATTTTCAACTATAGTTAGCATATATACGTTCCATAGTTACGTCATCTGTTATACACATACTTTTTGGCGATATACAGTGAATCAATTAAGTAATTTGCCTATGTAAAATTTTATAAATTTTAAGAAAAAACTTTATCTGAACAATTATTTTTAGCAAAATAAAGCAATTTGTTTGTTGTATTTTTTAAAGAATATCTTATATTTTAATTTTCTACCATAAAAAGTAAAATCGTGATATTAATTAACGAGATTTTTGATAAAATCTGAACGTATTGTTAATTTTTAAGATCAATAAAGTATTTTGCTCTTTTAGGTTTTTTGTTAATTTTTTTAATATTGCTGCATTATTTTATAAAATTTCATATTTTTATTACTCCTATACATTAGAATAACATTTTTTAGATATTTTAGTAGTGGAACGACTAAGTTTGGACATTTCTTAGCCGATTTATTATCCTATATACCTATAAGAATTTTTCAATATCTGACTTAACATGAAATCTATCGTTTCTTTGATTAAATTTCGAAAATAATAAGTAATTTTGAATTGGATATATGATATGATATGATATGATATATTAGGAAATCAATGGATTTGGACCTAGAAAAAAATATTAGTGGGGTATAAATCTATAGATTATAACAAAAAAAATCTGGGTTTTTGGTCATTTTGTATTGATAAACAAAAACTACACTACGGAAACCCCATCTATTTGGGGAGTACTGTGTGAATTTTATTTAGAATTGTATAATATTGATTCTTATTCAATAAAGCTAACACTAAGTACTATCCTAGCCACTTTAAGTATGGGGATATCACCGTATACCACTATAGAACTATTACATGCTAGAATTTTGATATTCTACCTCATATTTTGAATGCATTATTTTATGAATAAAATGCAGTAGGCGTAGCTGGATTTGGATAGTTATTCTTGATTTAGATTCTAACTACATATAAGTGTATGTATTAGCTGAAAAATATTGCTTTTGTGATCTTAGGTGATGAGAACCGCCTCTATTTGTAAATACCTAAATTAAGTATTTTTCCCGTACCACACGATAGTTCACGTTATATTGTTTCCAAGCAACCTAAGGTCTGTTTAGAGGTCTAAATTTAAACATAGTGTTCTTTTAAGTTCGTATATGGACTTTGGAGAAGATAAATGAGGACTTCAATGGTTTTTGCTTGAATACAAGTCGCTCTCCTTTGGCAGTTAAAGATTTTGAAAGACAACTCAGTGCGTTTTTTTTTAATAATTCTTTGTGTTAATTCATCAATTTCTATATTTTATATTTTTTAATGATTGATTAAACATCTCATAATTGAATTCCATTGATTTATACTTGTTCTAAAAATCTAAACTAATTTTTTATATTTGAATTGCCTCATTATTTCCCTTTAAACATTTTTAACGCGAATAACTACACAGTTTCACACAATAAGGATATGATTTTTGAAAATTACGATTGAAAAATACTTAACACGTGTCATTCTAACAATAAACCAATAAATTTCAAAAAGCAATTAAAAAATAATTTGAAAAACCCAACGAAATTAACTGGAAATTTCAATATGCAAAATACTTTATTGACGTGCAAATTCTGATGAAAAATAATAAAATGCAACAACAAATGCACCAACATTTTTATTTTAATATTTTTTTCTTGGTTTTCCCATTCTACACAATCTCTATTTTCAATTGGAAAACATAAATTTACTTTTTACCTGTTTTTTTGAATTTTATTTATGAACAAAAAACGAAATTCTCTTAAAAAAAGGTAGGCAAAAAACTTAGTTGATTCACTGTACAACACTTCCTTATCCACAACTTTATAGTAAATATATTGATCAACATCACTTCTGGTTAGTAAAATATTTATTAATTCTCTAAGAGCGGGTTTTTGAGATGGTAATCAAATGCCAATTAATAATCAGATTAGTTAATCTAAAAATAAATTTAATCTTATGTTAATCCCCTTTGATGTTTTTGAGTACAAGATTAAACTTCGCAGTGTTGCCATACAAAACAACAGAAAATGTCACTGTTTGTTATCAAAACAATGCATATTTTATAAAAAAGAAGAAGACAATTGTAAATTTAATATGAAAATTAATGAAAACTTACGATTCTTGTGTGAAACTTTGTCGTGTTAAGACGTACTCATTTTGTGTTCTGATTTGCTGTCTCACTCTAACCTTTGATTTGTGGAATTTTTTGTGAACAGTTAATTTTTACCGTTTTTTTGGTGGCGTCTTTTTTTTTTGTGGAAATTTTTGGATTGCTATCTTGTGAAAACGCGTTTCTTGTTTTGTAACTGAACTGTGCGGTACTGATTGACTTCATCATCTTTCATCTTTGAATCTTCATTCACCTTCATCATTGGACCTTTTGACTAACATTGCTTGGGTGTAAGAGGATGGCATCATCGGGGGGCTCTTGCCCTCCGGAAGAAGGAGAAGACAATGTGGGGAAGAGGAAGTAAACCACTGGTACGATGGGTATTGCGATTATGGGAGAAAATTCAGGTAAGTCGGTCACGGCCAACTCGGACGTGGACGGAATGAAAGCTTGCGCGGGTTCAAGCAACTCGGACGATAGTGAGAATAGGGAACAGTCTTCTAATGTTGAGAACCTTTATCGTTATGATCAGAGCCACAAGGGCCCATACATTGTTTATTTAGACGCTTACGATGACAAAGGTATGAGAAAATACTTAAATGCAATCTCGGTTTGTAACATAATATTGGAACTGCAAATATCTGAAGTATTAGAAGTATCCAAAATTGGTTTTGGCAGATGCAAAATCTCTTTTAAAAATTTTGCTGCAGCCAACAATTTCGTGGAAAATACTGAAATCAAGGCAAAGGATCTTAGCCCAAAGATTTTCGCCCATTTTGTGTCCAAAACTGGCATAATTTTTGACATTCCCAGTGAAATCTCGGATGAAGCTTTTTTAAATTCTGTGGACTCACCTATCGCAATCCTTAATGTTTTTAGAATAATTCGGAAGAGAAAAGATGATAACGGCGACTTAATTTCAGTGCCGACGAATAATATGAAAGTAATTTTCAAAGGCAATGAGATTCCAAAGGAAATTATTTATGGATATACTAAAATTAAGGTAAAATATTTTATCCCATTTGTACAATGTTACCGATGCTTTCGATACAATCACTTCGCGCTACACTGCAAACAAAGCATGGAATTGTGCAGAAAATGTTATAACCTTCATAATGCTAAGGAAAACTGCTCAGAGTTGATGTGTCCTAATTGTAAAGGAAACCATCCTCCCACATTTAAAAACTGTCCAGCTAGAACAAAGGCTTATGCTCTTAAGAAGCTTATGACTATCGAAAATTTAACCATAAAGGGGGCCAGAACCAGAATGACTAGTGTATTTTCTAACAGATTCGAAATTTTGGATGGTGCGGAGGATTTTCCTCCCCTGAGAACATCTAACAGGGAAAATAACAGCTGCGAGTGAAGCGGTCACATTGAAGCGGTTAGGAATATACACAAATTACTTCCTTATGCGAAAGTGACTAGGAACATTTCTAATAGGACGAGGGAAAATGATAATGCTCGTAAATTGGCACGTGAACATCAAAGGATTATAAAAGAGCATGAAATACATTTACCATGCAATCGCAATAATAATTTCAATCATAATGAAACTTCAGAAACCCGCGAATTTGAAACCATGGACACAGTCACGTGTGATAAATCGGACAACTATAATAAGGCAATGGATATTCTAACACAGGTTTACAAGGATACTTCAAACATCATCTCAGATTGAGCGAATGGTAAATTTGATACAGAACAATCAAGGAAAATTTTGATTTCTATGAGGGAAAAGGTCAATAGGGGTATGAATTACATAGAAGCAGACAGAATTAATAACTCCATTATAAAAGAAAAATTTTAAAATTTAAACCATCAAAATGAAAATACTACAATATAATATTCAGAGTCTTAAGAAGAAAGGTAACAAAGAACTTCTGGAAATTTTTATGAACAACAACAACATTGACATTGCCGCACTTTATGAAAAGTGGCTATCTGATAACTCTTCATCGAGTCTAAATGATTTCAACTTTATTTGTAAAATTAGAAGAGACGGTTTTGGTGGAATTGGATTCTGAGGAGAAAAATTAAATATTTCGTTAACAACTTGAATACCAATTGTGATGCTCTTGCAATCACTACGATAAACCTTAGAAATAATTTAACCATCATATGCGTTTATAATCCACCCAACACGACATTGGAAGAATTTGCATCAGACTCTAGAAAAATATTCGATTATGGCAAAAATCAGAAAAACAGAACTTTGATTTGCAGAGACT